TAGTTAGTAACCTTTATCGCCTTACCAAAATGTTGCCAAACTACCTGTTACCATATTCTAAAGATTAGCCACATTTACGACTATTTGGGGAAAATGTATCTGAACTTAAGTGAAAAGGCTGAATACGCGAAGCAGTGAAAGGGAGGTATGAAGAAAGGACACTTCTATACTGTTAGACTCACCTAAAAACAGACGTTTGCTTCGAAGCAAGTTTGAGACTGACAGATCTTTTGAACAACATCATGAATAGACTTGCATGATATCCTAGTTAGGAACTTAAGCTAAGATTTTGAGAAACATATGTCGTGGTGTGGATTTGTATAAATTATCATTGTGTTAACAAAAAGACCTCCAGGAAAGATTACTGTTTTTGGCTTTTGTGGTAACTTAGCAATACTGTGTATTAATATTGTAAACTTAAAACGAAGTAAATCTTCAGCAGAATACAGATGCAACTTTCTTAGGTTTTCTTAGGTTAGAGTGCTGGAACTTTTGAATCGCACCTGTGCAGTGTGGTAAGAAATTCAATGATGTCACCATATTGTGGCTTTGATTTAGGTATAGGAAAAACTGCCAACGTCAGCAATTTTTTTCTCTCGGCATCAGCCGATTATATCTATTATCCATTTTCCCCAAACTATTTACTTGAAATATTTACCTATAATGAATAGTTAAATGTCTACTCATAAATGTAACTGATGCTGCGCGAATGGTATGGTCCTTAGAGAAGCCGTTGATGAGTCATGGTAAGGCATCCCTGAATCAGGTGCTGAGTAAGGCAAGAATGTGCTACTGTAATATTTAATATGCAGATAATGTGCTGTATAATCCATCAGTCTGGAGTTCCGGTGAGTGTTTGGTGTCAGAAGAAGGCTATTGAAAAGGAATTTCATTCTAGGCTTCTCGTTTCAACAGGAAATAGGCTAGACCTGATTAAAAGACTTGTTGTTGTAGTGTTGGTCTAGGTTCGACCCAGAGACGGAAGACCAAATGATTTCTTCCGGCCTACTTAAATGCAATCAACAACGACGAAGCTTCCCAGATAGATTTTTATGAGTTTATGCGTTATCTTCATATTTTTAAAATGGCCGTAAATTATCAAATGGATATTTTCACCTTGCAAGTCTTACTGACTAGAAATGTGATGACTTACTTGTGTGGTTCTGAAAATTTAACCGTGTTCTAGATTTTTATGAAAGATTGATTATGTACAAAATATGATAAATTTGAAGAATTTTGGAAATAATTTCATATTACAGATTAAATCGCCTTAATTTCTCCAACTGACAATGCATTTGACACTAATCTTTCAGGTTATTATGGACTAAAATAAACTGTTTTACAATCTGTTTAAGTAGAAAGTAAAGTAGAATTTATATTCATTCAAAAGCTTATAATATTCCTCGTTGCTTTGTCTATAATAAAATGCCAAGGAAGCTAGTGAACTAAGTAGATACTTATGGCTAAATTAAAGTAGACAGCGTAGACCCGAGAAGAGTTAAATACCCCTTTTTGTATGAAAGCAGGAAGTTCTTCGAGAATTTCTTTAAATAGATAACTCTTTCTTACTCAGACATAATAAAATAATCTAGTGTAACCATTTCATCCCAGGTTATAGAATTTCCAAAGTTACGGGTATAGCGATATTTAGACTTTTCTTAATTTCCTTTTTTTTATTCCATATCTATTTTTAAGCTTGTGATTTGTAAATTATTATTCAAGGGAATCGACTGCTTTAGAAGCATAGGAAACATTTGAAAATTGGAGGAAGGAATATTTTAGCTTATGATGTAAAAGTTGAAATGTAGTAAGGAAAAAGAAAAGTAAATTTTTCTCTTTGCCTTTATATAAATTGTAAGCATAATGATATTTCATAAATATATATCTAAAAGTTTGCATTTCTGAATTAATGTAACGTTTATTTTAAAAATTGCTTGCTGTTTTCAAAGTTAATTTAAAATTTTTTAATTGTTAACAAAGAACATCGACATTTGCTACGAGAATAACTCATGATGTTGAAAAATTCTGACTTATGTTTTCGTTATATATATTTATTGGTTTTAATCTTGTATTTTAATGCCTATTAGGTATTTACAGGCGTTATGCCATTCTTTTGATTATTCCATTTTGACAGGGAAATATGTTTAATTGTTTCGTTACTATTCAGTATATAAGTGCATTATTTATTACTTTTATATTATCCTCTCTAATATAGCTTTAGTCGATGCTTGACGGTTTATTCTATACTTTCAATAGTCAATCAAGAATATTAAATTCTACTAAGTCATATTCAAACCCAAAATATTTCCGTGTGATCATTAATAACACACTTTGTTAATCGATTTTGCCGAGAAGAGCACACGTCAGCGTGTATTTAATTCTAAATATTTCACATAGTGTTAGTTATATGTATTATTAATCATTAAAGTTTACGTGAGTTATGTTCAGTTTTAGTTAATGGTTTTTCGGTTAGTAATTCCGTATTATTAACTTAAACTGATCGAGAGCCTTTCTGTAGAAGCTTAGCTACTATTTTGCATTGAAGGAGACAAAGTATACCCCCGCTTTACCGTGGTTGTTTAATGGAGGAGTAAATTAATACAATCTAGAAAGTTGTAATTCCAGTTGCACAGCCGTATAAATTCAACGAGGGTAATTTGGTGATTAAAAATGAAAGCTGTAACTGCTTTGGCTAATTGCAAGTTAATTCTGAATACTCTTATTCGCATCAGAAGCGGCTGTTTGTGTATAAGGAGCGATTTCAATCGCTTCGCTGTTAAATTTTGGAAAGGGTTTCCTCTTGCACATAGTGTAAACATGATTAGAAATCAGATTATTCGAGAGCAGTGGGTTTTGTATTTTCCTGGGACATATGATTAAAAGCAAGTAAGTTTTGACTGCGGTTTCATTTATTCTATGGATGGTTGCTGTATTTTACTGCAGGTATATATTTATGTATTTTTTAGATATGAGTGTATTTTGATTTTCTCCCAGATCGAGCTCCGTTTGATACACCTTATGTATTGCCGATTATTATATTTTGTGACATTTTCATATTTTATGATTAGTTTCGTTTGTTGATTATGGGGCAATTAGTGCAAGCCCCTTAATTGTGTCCTTCATGGAATGAATTTGGCTTTAAAAAATTTATAATCAAAAACCGTTTTAGATGAAATCATTTACGGTTAGCTAAAATTTAGTTTTTTTCCCTTGATGCCTTAAATGAATTCCCACCTGTCTGTGCTTATCTAGGTTTTATAGCTTATTTTCTGAGATAGTAATGTATTTAACAGGTAGAGAAATATCCATGTCTCTTTTGCACTGAAGACATTTTTGGATGAATTAGGCATCAAATTCATGTGCAAATCGTTGCGATACTTTTAAAGGTATATATAGTGTCACAACTATATTTATTTCTGACTATTAACTTGTTCTTTATACTCAGAAAATCGTATTTCTAAAAAATTATGTTCTTTGTTCGTGTTTTAATATTCGAATTTGTTTTTGTTACAAACAGCAGAGATATAAACTATTTTCAAACTAACATTGGGTCTCAAACGTAATAATAAATAAATAAATAAAGCAGTTTTTTGAAATAAGTCTGGTCTAATTGGGTTGTCAGCCTTTTCAGCATTTCCCTGGAACATGAATTTTTCCTCTTAATTTTTTAATCTTAATATAGAATTGATCTTCCAAGAATACTCTTCTTGTACTTTGTCAAGTATGATGGAATAAAAGAATGGAAATAAGATAAAAATTGCTTGAACGGCGACCGTAGAAACTTATTATTTAGCCTCTTGAAACATAAAACAAGTCCTGTATCTTTTGCATAGGATTGAGCTTTTTAATATATCAATTAAAATTTTAACTGGATCGTCGTGTACAAGTGAAATTTGTAGAATGTTCATTCTATCGTCGAAAACTGATGAGTTATAAAAATGCAGCCAAATAGCAAATATTTTAGAATTATGAAAGTTTAATTTGTAGTTAAGTAAGAGTGTAAATTTACGAAAAATGTTAACTCTTTATTTTTTATATGGGCAGTTCTATTTGAAGGTTTCACTGTATTTACTAACAACGTTTTCAGTCTGTTCGAATAATATCATACAACTGTTTTAACAGCATTGTAATAAGTAATTCTTAATGCTGTTAAAAGTATCTGAGGTTATGTAAATGATCTTAATATTTGGACCACCAAATCTCTTTCTGATTTTATCCCCCCTTTTATATTTCTGGATTATCCTTGCTTTTCCTCTTTTTTTTTTGCTAGCTTAACTAACTTTTTTGCTAGCTAATATGCTAGCTTAAACATCAGTTGATAATTAATTGATTATTTGCAATCCTTTTCGTTGTATTTTGAATGTTAAATGGTTTTCTACTAGTTCAGTTTTCTTCCATGTTTAAAATTAATGCTAGAGCTATTATACTTCACAAATATAGCGCATAAATAAAGAATTATCTTATTGTTTAATTGCGCGCTAGTGTGCATTTCTTTTAAACTTTATATGTGTAATTATTTCTTTGTGCATTGGAATAAGAAAGATAGAATATAAATGGAATATGTTTGTTTTGGGAATTCCTTATCACTGAATTAAGTAAGCACCATTAAAATGGCATTTTTATTATTTCGGTTTAAGAATTTTACTGGTGCACTTTGGAGTAATTTAAAAAAAAAAAAAAATAACTATACCTTGGTTTCTATTAACATTTCCGATGTATCGAATTTGGACAACAGCCATCGCTATTTCTTATTTTTTGAATTTATTCTGAAGAATTTCTGTACTATTTCGCTTCTTCGCGGAATTCCAAGCCGTCACCCGTATTTCCCTACTTTGCACAATTTTTCGCGAAGTCATCGATATTTCACCGCTCTTCCAAATCGAATTTTTAGTTTTGTACTTGTAATTTCGATTTCTGTCTACAGATGGCGCCATCAGTCCCCCAAATATTATGTCTTCCACGCCATCTCGCATCCTCTCTTCGCAACTTTGTAGCCTGTGGTACATAAGGTTAGCAGCTCGTGCTCCGCGTTCAGTTAAGTAGTATAACGGTTGGTAAGTAGTGATGCTACCGTCTGCGGATAGCCGCTCGCTTCGCGGATAGCATCGCGGATAAAGGAGAAAGCATGCTTACTGTCATGCTGGCTTGGTGCTGCGTGGGGCTTGCCGCCAGTTACCGGCACCATCCCAGATATCCGTGGGCACCTGGTGAAACTAGGATTCGGCACCACAGAGGTAATGTACTGAGATCCTAATGACAACTTTAATGTTCATGTTCTATTTGTCAAGGATGGAATCGTCAATGTTTGTACCTCGCATTCATTATTAAAATGAGACAGCGAAAATAATTCCTTATAAATCAATATAGTTTGGAAATATTCTCAGTTTTCAACTGAATTACATTCTTTTCCAGACGGCTTTACTCTAATAAGCTTCGAAGTTTTATTTTCTGTTGTAAACTTTGATTCGCATGTTAAGTGATTATCTGATGGGAAAGTATGTCACGTACATCTGCGTTTGATCATAAATTTCTCGAGAGGAGTGTAATTTATAAATTCTGTTTATTTAGGAAGACACGGGTTTGAGATTATTATAGAAAGTTTCTTCGCCGTGCTTTTAATTTAAAGCGAAATATTTAATAGTATTCTTCAATTTCTTTTAATAGAAGCTTTCGCATGGTCATCTTTTGATTATGTTTTTATTTTTCCTGTCCGGCATGAGAGAGATTATTTTTGTGGGGACTGTGTTGGATCATCACTTGGTGAAGTATTTTTTTGTTTTCGTGATTATTGCAGGAATTATTATTTGAGAAGATGACTTTTCGTGCAAATAGCAAAGCGCTGGTTAAAAGAAAACATTGTGCTTTTTTGTGTTGCCCTAGGAAGATTTTTATGGTGTTTTTATGCTAAGACGAATTTTTTCAAAACGTATTAAAATGTTTTATGAGTAATTATAATAGTTAATGTATTTTATATAGATATTATACACACACCTTTGTTTAAAAAATTACAGACTGAATTCGCTTTTTTTTAGGGAGGGGGTAATCATATTCATGAAAATATATATACGAAGAAATTTCTGAAAAGATCTTTATCATGATCAGTTTTCTGTTTAGCGCTTTTCCACTGAGAGCGGTGCAGCTTTCTTAAGATTCTTTTCAGAAACTATTTTTTAGAATTTTGTTAAAAAGTTCTTTAAACGAAAAATTTTCGTAAATATTTTCATAATCCTCTACTAGTTTCTTTTTTTTTATGTGTACTTGTTTACTTTTTTTGTAGCTTTTCATAAGAATATTTTCTAATACGTGACGATATTCTTGCATTAAATTCTCAAAGCATGGTTTCATTTTTTTCCCTGGAAAGGTACTTAATAACTCTTGAAAAATCTTTCTATGCATAATATTTTTTATAGCTGAGGGAATTCTTTACACGCTCGTGTTTTACTTGTGAGTTTTGTTTTTACGATAGCTTGAAAATCCTCTTAGATATTTTTCTCATTACTGCTCAAAATTAAAAATTTCTTTTACAATTTTTTTAGCTTTTTGTAATAGAGGTACATATTAATTAAAATAAGTAAAAGTATAGCTGCTAAAAACTACTGCGTTTGAATATAATTATTTTTCTTAGTCATTACATTTAACAGGAATATTTAAAACTATACTTTTTATTCCTGCTTTCAGATTTTCTTTTCAAATTTATGTGTTAAACAAAAGAATAGTAGTTTTGAATGACAACGTTTTTTGAGATCTCAGTGATACATGTTCGTTTAATATCAATATTAAATACGACGTTAGTTTTGGCAAATTTTAACCCTTTTTACCATTTTATTGTGTGCAACTATCCACTTTTAAGCTATTTTTATGACGTGATTTAAGTGTTAATATATAATGCATTCAATTAAATATATATATTCATTTTCTGTTATAAAGTATCATAATGTCACTGATGAACGACCAAGAACCCAAACTGCAAAACACTATAGTCATTTCTGCACGGACCCAAATCTTATAACGGAATGGGCTTTTTACAAAGTCTTACTTATTTATTTCGTTTGTATAGTGTTTCGAACCTGCAGATTGATACTACTAAAATTTATCATTTGAGAAGTTAAACATGACTACAGAGTAGTCTCCTATTCTTTCGAATCCATTCTCGAATGAAACAAAGAAAAATGCATTTCTATACTATTTTCTGTTACTAGTATACGTAATTATTAGTTTTATGTAATTACTAAGCCATTTATTTTTTAGTTAACGATTACGTTTTCTGGTTTAATTTAATAAATTTCCGTTTCCTACCGAAAACTTATACTCTCTTCATTTCGGAAACACATGGGGATTGGAACTGATATCATTTTATTTAAAACTGTGTTAGTTAATTGGCTTATCACATATTTTTTAAATATTAATTTAAAATTTAGTTTATTTAAATATCTTAACTAAACTTCAGTTCGACGTTTTAAACTTCAAAACTGATTTCAGATTAATACATTAATTTGTGCACCACTTTAAAGTATTATTATTTATAAATTAATACTATTTTACTCAAACAGAAACTAAGATATTGTTACTGATCGGTTCTGTTTGTGCTATATTTCTCTGTTTTCCTAAAAAAAAATTTATTGTATAATTTTTTAAAAGATTTATGGAATCATTAATGTTTTCAAACCTTATTACATTAAATGAAATAAAGGATCTTCTATTAATCCTATACAAGAAGAATTTGGGATTAAAAGGGAAGAATAATATCGATGGTTCTCAAAATTCTGTAAATCTGCGTATAGTTTTTAAATTTCTGGGAGCTGATTATACGCGAGTGTTCTACTTGCGAATTTTGATTTTATGCTAGCTTGAAAATCTGTAGAGGTATTAGGTTAAATGGAAAAGCCGGAGAGACGAAAAATTAGCAACCCGCCTTCGCCGGGAATCGAACCACGGACTTCTGGAATACCAGCCCACCGTGCAGAACCACTACACCACGAAGGCACGCTAGGAAGGCGGGAGAAATACTTTATATACTCTCCCTTTTAAAGGGCGACTGGTGTTTTTAGGGAACCCAAAATCCTGGGTGTGGAGAATCCTCATCCAACACCCCTTTAGTTCAGGCGCCACTGTAGGGACATTAGGTTAATTGGAAAAGCCGGAGAGATGAAAAATTAGCAACCGCCTTCGCCGGGAATCGAACTACGGACCTCTGGAATACCGGCCCAGCCTGCAGAACCACTACACCACGAAGGCGCGCTAGGAAAAAGGGAGAAATACCTTATAAATCGTCTTAGATTTTTTTTTCTCATGACTGCTCAAAATTAAAAAAATTGTTAAAATTTCTTTTTAGCTTTTTGTAAGTGGAGGTACATATTAATTAAAATAAATAAAAGTACAATTGTTGAAAATTACTGCGCTGTTTACCCTTTTAAAAAATTCATGAAAAAGTAAACATGTGTCGCAGTAAAAATTCGAGAAAATTTGTTATTGCTGAAAATGGATAACAATGTGTTCGTAAATCGAGTAAAACCGATAAATATTTTGTATTTTTAAAAATTAAAATAGCTGGTAATCTTCACAGTATTTCACATAGCACAGTATTTCATTTTAAAATATTTATTCCTGCCAGTAATTGTGTTTGGTTATGAGTCTGTTTTATATGCAAGCCTATATGCCACTGTAGTATTCTTTAAGTGTTATAAAAATCGGAGGGATAATGATTTTCGATGTGTCATCACACGTGATTAAGGCATTTGTTCATAAACCGTGCTTAAAGAAAACTAATTATCGTAAACGTTGGAGAACACATGGAATCTCGACTAAAATATTTCATAGGTTTTTTGTGTCTTTGTGGTATTTCACAAGATTTTATTTATGTGGATAATTTTCAAAACTACACTATAGTGTAATAATTTTAAAGTATGCGTTATGTGCTGATCTCCAGTGTGTTAAAAAAGAAAAATAATACCGTTTCTGTGATTTATTGCTATGGCAATGCTTAGGTACTGGCTATCGGAGCGTCATCAAAAACCAATACATTGGCTACAACTTGCGGAGTTCGATGTACTGCAGAAAAGTTAAAAATTTGCATATTGTAATAATATACGTTTCTGAACACAAAGTTCAAGAATTGTAAATTTATATTTATTATTATTATTATCATTATTATTATAAGGGCACAGTCCCGATTTTCCTAGCTGGGACAAGCCAGCCGTGTGATAAAAAAATAGGACTGTCCAGAGAGGGGGGGGGGAAAGCATATAAGGAGGAAAAAAAAAAAAAAAAAAAAAATATAATGTCCAAAGTCTGAGTCTCAGTGTTGAGTTTCAATTCTATCTATGTTAGTATTTATAATTTTCATTATTGTCCCTTCAAAATCTTTCAAATTTGAATAGTCCCTTTTAAAATCTTCCTTACAATCCTTTCTATATATGTCTCTCTTGCACTCCGGGTAAGCGTACATTCATCGACGAAGTGCCTGGCGTCCCCAAACTTATCACAAATTAAGCATTTATTATTATTCTGTAGGTGAAATTGATTAAAATAAACCGGGAAACACCCATGATTAGTCAGTACCTGATTTATATATTACAATTTATAATATTCATCTTCTTGTTTAACTTTATATTTTTCATTAACTCTTTTTTCTTGTTTGACGACTCCCAGCAAAAATTCCATTCTGTATAAATCCAGTTATACATTCCAGCCATAGTCCCCCCCCTTTTTTTTTTTAAATCTTGGATATCAAAATAATCGGTCTCATTCCCAAGTGCCGCTATATAACTACACTGTTAAGAAATTCTTTTACTGAAATATTAAATGATTTAAATTTGTGGTTTATGAGTGCAACCGGATCTTCCAGCGCCCAAACGGTCAAGTAGCTGAACACTGGTAATTTGGCCCGGGATTCAAATTCTAGCGAACGGCCGGTTGCATGGGCGCGTCCCTGGTTTTCCCCATGTGTAACGTATATATGAACCAATTTCCCTCAGAAAGTCCTCCACGAAGGTATCCTTCCTCTTAGGCAGATAGCCCTCGAGTGCTTTGCCATAATTAATTAAACCAAGCCAAACCAAAACAACCTATGAATGCAACTGAAATTTAGCACGCATCAGTTAGTAACCGAGTATATAAGATCGCTGAACGCTGGAACTCAACCCTGGCTCGAATGGTGGCGAACTGGTTGTCTGCAAGGCTGTTTTTCTGGTTTTCCCTATGTATAATGTGAATACAAGCCAGTTCTCTTTACAGA